ACAGTCATCCGAAAGGAAAACGAGGCTGGATCTTCCTTTGATGTGAATGAGATTATTGAGTCTATTGACGAAATAATCGCCCTACAAGAGACTACCGAACTCACAACAAGGACATTATTCTCTTCTGACCAACGCAGACAAGGCAACCAGAGCAGCCTACAGCAATCAAGGTCCATCAAGAGCAGGCCTCCCTTCAACCACAAGCCCAAACCAGCATGCCTTTGTGGGGAAACACATCCACCACAACACTGCCAGAAATTCAGCTCACCAGAGGAGCGCCGAGCAGAAGCCAGGCGACAAAGGGTTTGCTGGAGGTGCTTCAGCAAAGAGCACACTTCGAGACAGTGTTCAGTAACCAATAAATGTCCGAAATGCAACGAAGACCACCACTCTTCACTTTGCACATCTACTACAAACCGCCTGCAAAGCTCGAATCCATCAAGCCAACGAGGATTCCCACCTTCAGTCGCTAATGTCCAAGCGCCATCGAGGGCGAGGTATTCGGTCAACGACAACCGCTCTAAGCAGCCTTCAAGAGCAAATAATAGTCTTCGAGAAAATAGCCGGGTCCAAACTCTACAAAGCACAGCTCCTCAAGAGAATATAACGGCCGAACTAAACCGACCACCACTCAGCCAACACGTGCTACAAATAGCATCAGCACTGATCTTCGACGAATCAGAGATGGATTATCAAGCAATAACCCTACTCTTAGACTCTGGAGCTCAAAGAAGCTTCATCAAGTCATCCTTTTTAGCTTCACTGAAGTTACCGACACTAAGCTCCACAAAATTCACGACAGTGGGAATGGGAGAGCTACGAGAATCTTTCGAATCCAATGAGGTTCGGATAACGTTGAAAAGCTGTCATGGATCTCAGAAGCTGCAAAACATATCGGTTTTCACCAAAGAGAAGCTGACCAGTTCGACGAAAACTGCTGAACTATCAAAGGAAGACAAAAGCTACATAAGAGAAAAGAAGATAACCATAGCACAACGTTGTCTTCTGCCTATGGATGTGTCGCCTGATCTACTCATTGGACAAGATCTTCTCCACAGGATTCTTGATCACAAATCAGCAGTCATACGATTGCCGTCCGGACTGATACTCACACCCACCATCTTCGGGTACACGGTCTCCGGTACCAGCGCTATTCTCAGTTCATCGGAGACGAACTTAGATACACAGTGCAGCTCACTCATTGTAGCTACGCCACAAATGTCATTGAAGGACGACTACAAAAAGGACATAAAACATCTGTATGAATTAGAATCACTGGGCATAAACACTGACAGTGGCACAGATGAAGCATCCCTCATCAAGTTCATGGAGAATTACAGAAAAACCATCACTATCGAGAATGGAATAATCACCGCCGGTTTTCCATTCACTGACGACGTGAAGAACCTCAAAGACAACTTCAATGTTGCATTTCGAAGACTGCAGAGTCTCTTGCGTACACTCAGAGGAGACGACGAGAAACTAAAGCTGTACAGCGACACACTTGCAACATATCTTCAGGAAGGGATCATCGAGGAAGCAAAGGATTCTCCAGATAGTATCGCCACTTTCTACCTCCCTCATCGACACGTATGGACGCCATCAAAGTCAACTAAACTCAGAGTGGTGTTCGACGCGTCCTCTCATGCAAAAGATGAATACAGCCTGAACGATGTCATCTTTGAAGGTCATTCACTGACGCCACTAATCCACGAAGTTGTTCTTCAATTCCGCACACACCTCAACACAATGGTAGCGGATATACAAAAGGCATTCCTGCAAATACGACTGCCCAAGGAACATCGAGATGTGACAAGATTTATTTGGGTGAAGGATACCTCACTTCCACCAACAGGAAACAATCTCAAGCATCTCCGCTTCTGCCGAGTCCCGTTCGGCATCAACGCGAGTCCAGCCATTTTAAATCAGTCTATACTGAAGCATATAGAAGCGACGCAATCAGACATCGTTCCAGAACTCTCCAACGCCCTATACGTAGACAATGTGCTACTTGAAGGCCGAAATGCAGAGGAACTAATCCGGAAATACACCGAGTCAAAACGACTATTCGCTTCTATCGGAATGAACTTGCGGGACTATCTCTCTAACTCTGCAACCGTCAACAAAACTATTGTGGAGTCAGATCGAGCTAATTCAACCGAAATCAAAGTTCTTGGCATCAAATGGAACGCTATAGAAGACACGATAGCACTGGAATGTTCCAGAAGGCAGCACTCCAAGATTTCCAAGCGCACGGTTCTAAGCCAAATCAACGGATACTGCTATGATCCGCTTGGATTACTATCGCCACTAATGACGCCAGCCAAGATCTTCCTACAAGATCTTCACAAGCAGAAATATGGATGGGATGATCCACTCTCAGAAGAAGATCAGAACACTTGGAAATCCATCACGGCTAATATAGACGACTTTGAAATCCGCTTGCCGAGGAAGGTGGTGGAGAAGAATGGAACCGCAACGCATACATTGTCTATATTCGTGGATAGCTCTAAGCGTGCTTACGCATGCTGCATATACGTCACAACAACTTCTTGCACAGGGAAGAAAGAGACAAGACTCTTCACGGCTAAATCGAAAATTGCACCGATCAAGAAGGAACAAACGATACCACGTCTGGAGCTTCTCTCTATATTCATTGGACTTAGTTTAGCCGAGTCTACAGTCAACAAGATAGACGTACAGTTCGAGAAAATCAACCTCTTCGGCGACTCAACAATCGCCCTATGCTGGGTGCAGGGATATAAACGCCTGCCATCTGTAGTAACTACGCTTGTTCAAAAAATCAGTCTCATCACAAAACGATTACGTGAATCAAGCAACGTCACCTTCTACCATGTGCCCACGCATGAAAATATAGCGGACTGCGCGACAAGGGGAGTGACAAAGAGCGATCTTCATCGTCACCGTTGGTGGTGCGGTCCGGTCTGGTTGAATATGCCAGCAGAACACTGGCCTGCCAAGGAAGCCATCAACCTGCGAGAACAGAGCGACACCGAAGCCGAAGCTTATTTCCAAACTTTAGGACCAGTGGAAGAGGTCCAACATGCAGTATGGCCTCTAGAAAAGACGAACGATTACTCCAAGCTGGTTCGAATCACAGCATACTGCGCCCGGTTTATTCGCAAAGCAACGAAGGGCAAACTCCTCGCTCTGGGCGAAACCACATCGTCTACAGCAACACCGTCAACAGAAGAAATTATATTAGCTGAACTTCTTCTCATTCGCCAAGAGCAAGCCATCCACAAATCGGCGTTACTGATGCAAAACAAACAGCTGAATATGAATATAGACGACAATGGTATATTCAGAAAGTACGGCCGACTCCAAAACGCTGATATTAGCTTCGATACTGCTAACCCAATCCACATACCGAAGCAAAGCAAATTAGGATATTTGATCGCAGCTCGGTTACACAAGCAGTCATCACACTGTGGAACGAATCAGCTCCTCTACAACATCAGGCAGAAATACTGGATTCCACAAGACAGATCACTTTGTAAGCGGATTCTTAAACACTGCGTTACATTGCAGGAAATTCAATACAGCACCGTTCAAGTATCCGAACATGGGTCCCTTACCTACTGAACGTGTGACAAAATCGCCTCCGTTCGCACACACCGGAGTAGACTTCATGGGACCAATCACAGTTAAGTCTTCGTCAGGAGAAGACTTCAAACGATATGTAGCTCTATACACGTGCATGGTAACGCGACTAGTTCATCTCGAAGTCGCTACGGATCTATCGGCGAAAAGCTTCATCTTCACGCTAAAAAGATTCATCGCTAGAAGAGGAGTACCACTAAAGATACTTAGCGATAACGGCACAAACTTTCGGCTGACCGAAACTCTCCTAAGTCAAAGCCCTAACACCGATGAGGACCTACATTTATCTCTGTTTCTCGCTGAACATCGAATCAAATGGAACTTCATACCCGCCCTCGTCACCATGGATGGGTGGAGTATGGGAGAGAATGGTCGGCACTGTCAAGAGATCGCTTCAAAAAACAATAGGTCGGAAGTTGACAGACGAGTTGCTTCACACAACACTATGCGAGGTTGAAAGTATTGTCAACTCCAGGCCGCTAACAACAATCGGTGACCAGAACACACCCTGTGAAGCTCTACGGCCGATTGATTTCGTGTATAAAGATGTACGGCATGGAACAACTCAGCTTACATCAGAAGACCACAGCGAAGATCCAGATTTTCGAACCTCTTCCGGAACTTTCCTCCAAAAAGCGGCAAGTTAGCAATATCAGCGACTAAAAACTGACGAAGAAGTTTTGGAGCATCTGGAGAAACGAATACCTTACAGGAGTTACGAGACCGTCACAGAGTCATTGGAAAGAAGACCAGATCCTCAGATAAACACCTCTCGTCGGAGACGTAGTCCTCCTCGATGACGATTCTCCAGCAGCCAAGAGGACAATGGCCAATGGCAGTTATTACCGAGCTAGTGACGAGCAGAGACGGAGCTATTCGAAGCGCTATGCTTCAAACTTCAACAGGAAGAATTGTACAACGACCACTCAATCGTCTCATCCCGCTGGAAATACGTTCTTCCATCCACTCTTCGGGAACTGAAAGCGACCTAGCTCCATCAGTTATAGGAAAACCTATTCACAGAAGAAAGACATCCACCAGTTCATCTGAGGATCCCAGCGTGGCCGTTCGACATCAGCCGCCGAGAGTGGCGAAAACCCACGTGTCCTACGATGAAACCAGAGCTGGAACCAAGAGCCTCAGCCTCTCCAGCTCATCCACGATCTTCATGGTAGCTATGTGTGTATTCACACTATTCAACTCAGCGTCTGCTGCTACAATATCTTGCTCGAGCAAAGGAGCTTCAATTAATACGACTCACTTCACCGAAGCGGAGTTCTGCATTAATTACAAGAATGTACCACAGTTCCAGCAGGAGCTAATATAACCGAAATTGCCTTACCATTCAAGCACCTTGTCAGCCAACACACCATACAATGGCGCACAATTGTTGCTTCCAAGCAATACACGGAAACGATAATCTGCCCTCCAGGAGATATCTGCCAAATAATCAGCTGCATCATGTGCGCAGAGCTTATCGGAAATCCTCACTGTGCCCGGAAATGGTTTCAGGGATGTTAGCATTGTTCCTAGTGCTCGTCGTCTCTCCCATAGCGTTCTTATGCTACCTCACTGTACGGCACGGCATCAAAAGAGGTAACCGTACGAAGCGGGACTATCATATGATCAAGCCTATCAGTAGTTGCGGCAAAGCTCCGAAAATGATTCGTATTCACCGTCATGGTTGCGTATCTCATCTCTACCGGGAGAAGCATGCCAGTACACACATACACTCAACGCAAACAACACGGTTTGCTCTCGTTCACTCAACAAAACCGACTGCCGAGAAACACAAGAAAGTGCCATAACGCTGAGCGAAAATAGACCTCAAGCCTGCTTTCGCCTTAGAAACAGGAACCTACGTTGGGGGCATGGGAAGCTTACGCCATACAAATGTTTTCTTGTACGTGCCCATCCAGTTGCTTGCTTTTCTACCGAGACGAGACGTCGACATAATCCACCAGAGTCCGTAAAGCGCATGCCATCTAGCACGGGGCTCCTGCCACATCACAAACCTGCTCACACCACTCAGCAGTTAGCATCGGGAGGTCGGAACTACGAAAACACGTCGACTTTTCCTGGAATTACGCGATGCACGACATCTTGTGGAGGGCTCGGATGCGGCTGCCTTCTTCCAACTCCAGGATGCTTATTTTCTCGCACTTACGCGAAGCCGAGGAATAACAAGATTTACCAAGTATTCCACTGCCCCACATGGCAAGAATCGGCTTTGATGACGTTCACCTATACTGGAGCTCAAGGAAACGCAGGGCTCCGACACGTTCAGGATCAACACACAGACAACGCATGTAATGCAGAATGCCAACGTGACGCTGGAATTCGTAACAACGCCAGCAATACCTTTGTTGGACACGTTGTTCATAGGGATGGTCAATTCCAACCATTCAGAAGTCGCTCTTATCGAGAAAGATGATTTCATTGCTTTACGGTGTCCAACGATGAGAACTGCCTCCAATATAACGGAATGCTACGTGGAAGACCGATGCTCTTGCTCACCATCGGAGACGGAAGCGAAATGCGACTGCAGAAGTCTTGACGTCATCACCAAGATGACTTCCATAGACAGCCGGCTTCCACTATCGTCCTCAGTACTGCATCTTCAAGATGATCATGGACTTGTTTTCGGAGCCGTACATAGTGCCGTCATCGATGTCACGATAAGCACCTCAGCGCTTTATCACGCAGACTCTACAATTGCCTATAGCGCATGCACCAGAAAGTTTCTTGGCAAGTACGATACTGGCAAGTCCGCTAATGCGATAATTATACTGAGGTGGTCAAACTACTACAGGAAACAAGGTTTTGGCGAATTTGGTAATTTATGGTATTTTGGTGCGGGTAGCTCGTGCCAAGCAGCTGACTGTCAGACACAATGCTTTGTCTGACATCGTCCCATAAGGCAGACTGGTTGTTGCCCACCGACTGACGCCGTCCCCAACGTATTAATCGAATGTCTTCGGCACTGGAACTTGTTGATCCGCCACGTCATTTGCGAGAGATGGCAGCCTCAATAAATGCTCAACGTCTTCTTTTCTTCGAATCCTCTATCGAATAAAAGTTTTATGATTGCTCGCTACTTGATTCGCATATCGACTACATTTGTTATGCATGAGCGGAGAAAAAAAACAGGTCAGATGCTCTTCCAGTTAATAGTAAATATAGTTGCTGTCGTCGCAACCAGTCGGGACGGTGTCAAGGGGCGTGGATGTTATACATAAAGGATAAAGTCTTCGCCGTTGATCAATCCCTTTGTGGGATGCGGCACGCATTCTACTTCCATTCAGAATCGTAGTGGCTTATTGAATGCGATGTGGCCTATACGGGCGGCGTAGCAAAGAATTACGACTTTCCCACGGCCCCGTACTCTGACCCGCACCGTTTCGCAAACTCACGTTTTTACTAACACCGTCCGCGCGGCGCGGTCGCGTGCAGCTCTCTTGGCTTTTTGCCAAGTCCTGTAATTGCGCTTTGGAATACAAGTACAACGCAATTTCTTTATGCGGATAACAGGTGCTGCAAAATAAGAACCGAAGATGATGACGAGGGCTAGAACTCAAGAGCAACTGTGCTGCTTCTGCAATATCCCTCAGAGGCCGCGCATTCCCACAGAACATGACAATAAAAACGGACAACATGACAATAAAACATGACAATACAAGCAAAACGCAATTTCCTAACATTTGAGGTATTGCTCATGCTTCAAAGTCCGAATAGAAGGTGATGAAGATGACAAAGGCTAGAAATGAAGAACAACGAATGTAGATGTAAATAAAAAAAAAACTAAGGAAACGCAAATTAATTAAAATCGCGTGTGCATTTCTGCGATCCGGCTCGAATCCGGCTCTAAAGCTATAGAAATACTTCAAACTAACGAGTGGGACGCTTAGGCCGTTTTTATTGTCATGTTCTGTGGGAATGCGCGGCCTCTGAGGGATATTGCAGAAGCAGCACAGTTGCTCTTGAGTTCTAGCCCTCGTCATCATCTTCGGTTCTTATTTTGCAGCACCTAAAATGTTATCCGCATAAAGAAATTGCGTTGTACGTATTCCAAAGCGCAATTATTACAGGACTTGGCAAAAAGCCAAGAGAGCTGCACGCGACCGCGCCGCGCGGACGGTGTTAGAGTTTGCGAAACGGGCGGTGTAGCAAGGAATTACGACTTTCCCACGGCCCCGTACTCTGACCCCGTGCAGTTTTGGGCGGGGGGACCACGACACATCGACAGCTGGGGGGCTGATAGTCTCATACACCCTCAATGTGTTTGAGCGTACCATGTGTCTTTAAGTCACGTTTGCTTACGCTAGGCATTTTGATCAGGAAACAACCACCTTTGAGCACGTTATGAAGATGGCGAGTCTCGTGTGACATGTGGAGTGCATCCTCTACTAGCGAAAGGTCTGAACTACAAGCGCCAATGAATAAAACAACCAAAAATAATTTATTATACAACATTGAATTTCCACTGTCTCCTTCAATCGCAGGCATTCTCTTTGCGTTTTATTAACCCATTGCGTACCGCGGCGTTTTTTCGCTGGCTGCCGCGTGTGCCCGAGCCATATTTCGCAACCTCGCCGGCGTGCTGCACATGGTGCAGCACGCGGCCACGCAGAGCGGTATTTCTCGCGCCCGCAGCGAAGTATAAACTCAACGTACGTCCATTTCGCTTCTCCAGGCTATTTTTTTTGGAAACTACGCCTAATTTACAGTAGCCGTTCCAGACAGGCAATGATGGACGCGCTGAATAGATCGTTTGATGAACTTCTGATTGAAGTGACGACGAAGTGGTGGAAGAGGGCCCTGATACCCCAGAAGATATGGTTGTCCGCGTGAATCATTCTAAGTGATGAGTCCGATTGGGAATCAAGCGAAGAAGGCTCAGATACAAACGATGGAGGATTCAATGGACCCCAAATATCAGCAGGCAGAACAATTTTGACTTTCAAGGTTTCGGTGGTGCACTGGATGAAGATGTTCTATCTTACCAGTATCCAATCCAATTTTTCCGGCGATTTTTCACAGACAATCTTGTTGATTTGACAGTGAGAGAAACCAATGTCGCAAAGTACTCGAGCTGGATTATTCTCGATTAGGGCAAACTACAGAACTTTGTGGCGATTTATTTTCAAATGGTCGAAAATCGGACAAACCTCAAAGACTACTGGTCGTCAAGAAAGGTGTTCAGTGAGTTCAAGTGCGGCATTATAGAGTCCATTTTAGAAGGATACAACACACCAGCGAGCGCTTCCTCGAGACCGAAGCTGTACGAAGTAAGGTGGACCGAAGAGGACCGAAGAGGAACTCAAGGAGGAGATGCGTCCCATGCTACAGGAACCTTTCCCGGACGAATGGTGCTCTGTACGCTAAACCACACAATACTAGTGAATACAAGATGCACAACCTGCGATCAATATTTCTGCATTAAGTGTTTCCACACATATCATCAACGGTGTCCTGTTTAATCCTTTATGAGTGTTTATGGACGTTGAAAATAAATGAAGAAGATCACAGTTGAAGTTTTTTATGAAAGAGGTCAATAACCCAAGTACTACTTCAGCGATCGAGGTCCCACGTACTTATGTTGTTCTTCCGTGTTCGAAAACATATGCTCCCAACTTTGTAGCAGAAAAGGATGCAAAATAATCCAGATGGAGCGGAAAAATCATCGTGCTGCACCATGTGCAGCACGCGGCCATACAGCGACGAATGAGCGTGCTGCACCATGTAGGTACGCAATGGGTTAACTACAGTTGGCGCAGAAGCCACAGAGTGAATATGCATTAGACGTGGATTGCGGTAGCAGCAGTGAGTACGCAATTGCACGGCGTGACTTGGTGGTATTTATATAAAACATGTTGGAATGTGCCCACTCTGCACTTTCCACCATTGATCGTTTTATTAATGGTTAGATAAATAACCGCTTACTGTTGGGGGAGCCGGACGTGGGCTCACTCCGTCATTCCTGGCATCGCCCAGGCTGACTGCGACGACATCTGCTACATTTACTCACGCAAAAGTATGTAAATCAATTAAATAAATAGGTCCAAAATTAATAACTATAACTCACTGTAAAGTACGGCACAACGGATAAAGAACACACCTGTTCTGTTGTGTTGCCATGAATAAAAAATTCAATAGAGAAAGCGCGAAACATCTCTTTTCCGAATGCTTCCACTTCTGTACATTGAGATCTAAAATCGTTTTGAGCCATATCTATGACTTTGTGGAATTAAAAAAGAAACGCTCTCCTTTGCAAACGGAAAGAAGCTGTTGAGCGGTCCAGTTAAAGTCTTCGAGTAGCAGCTCGTTATAAATCTTGAACAGCCTTGTAGGGTTCCAAAAGCATAACATTCTTAATCAATTGCCTCTCGTTGTCCAAGACGTAGTCAAAGCGGAGAGGATCTGTAAATAAAGATTTTAATTAAATCAACTGCTCGTTAGCCTTTTTGCTGATGAATAGTACTTTCCGAAACATTTTAGTGCGTTCGCCAAGATAATTAAAAATAGTTAATCACAAGTCTTCGAAGTGACTTACCCGGTTTGAAGTCAGTCATTCGCTTGATAACATGTTCAACCAGTTGCGCTTGTTTTTCGTCGTAACCACTCACCTGAATGATGTATTTACAGCCATTTTCCCTGAGAAGGTGCGTGAAGGATCTTAGATGAGAGCGCAGCCGGGATGTCCTTATCCACCAATCGTTATTGCTCGGGATGGCATCGTTGATATCTGAGAGGGGGGGGGAGAGCTGAGTATTGTGGGGTACCAGTCAGTTCTTCACCAATTGCAAAAGCGGGTCAGCGACTACAATTGGTGTCTGGCACCACGCCAAATCCGTCTCACTAACATGCCACAGCATCCGCAGCGAACAAGACTGCATTGAGGTTGAGAAATAAGTATGTCGTATCTAAGATCAAGCATTTCCTTTTGTATAGAAATCTACCAAGAGGCCTTCGGCAGTGCTTAGGTCCATGTGGATTTCGTCGCCTAACAATTCTAGCTGGTGCAATGTAAGGGACGTCATCTCGATTTGACTTGACACAAGGCCTTGACGCTTTACTCGTCCATTTAACAAGCTGCTTTGGAAAACAATTGACAGCTGGAAGGAGCAAAGGTAGGCTATAGTGTACCGAAGAAGAAACATGCAACTGCTCTACATGCGTTTCAGCTTGACTTTTTTTTCAATGGTGCGTCCTGGCCAATCACGTCGTAGGCAGGGTGTACGGACAAACTTTTCCCCTGATCAGCGATTCGACCAGACCTTGAGGCTGTTTTGTGTGAAACCCGTGGTAGAGGCTTTAGCCTCGCAAGAAACAGCTCCCTCCCAATGAGTTCGAATGGGAATCCAGAACACACCTAGACTTTAGACTATGACCTCGCGCACTAAAGCTGGAAGATTGCTCAGTAACAGGACGTGGTCCTTGTAACACAGTTCTTCATTTTGGCCTTGGCAGCTCTCGTCCGCGGGCCAGAGTAGTATGAAATACTAGGAAGAAGGAGGTGCTCACGGTTCTGGACGAGGGTGTCGCCCACATTCTAATAGAAAACAAGTGAATGATAGTATTAGGTTGTCCGGAAAGTTCTCAGCGTTTTGTGTTACTATTTTTTGTACATTCATTGCTGATTAAAAACTCATTCTCCCTTGCGTCTCAGTAGTACATCCTGAAGAGAATTCTTTGCGCTATCTGATGGTATAATTGCCGTTTCACCATTGCTTGATGACCCTTTTTCCCAAGACTTTTTGAAGCATGTCAAAAGAGCAACTTCGGACGATATTTTTCTTCAACTACAAATTGGGTCAATCCGCAGTCGAGACAGCTCGACAAATTAACCAGGTGTGGGGCCCAATAGTGTTGGAGAAAGCACCGTGCGACAATGGTTCGACAAATTTCGTTCTGGAGATTTCAGCCTTGAAGATGAACCTCGTAGCGGTCGACCTAAAGCAATGACGAGGATTTGAAGGCGTTTGTGGAGGCTGACCCATCCCAAACAGTTCGAGAGATTGCAGAAAAGCTAGGCGTTGGCAAATCCACTGTTGCGGATGGTCTGGAACGCATTGGGAAGGTGAAAAAACTCGACAATTGGGTGCCCCACAATTTGAGTGACCGGCAGAAATTGGCACGTCTCGAGGTTTCTTCTTCACTGCTTTTGCGCAACAGAAACGACCCGTTTTTGGACCGAATTGTCACCTGTGATGAAAAGTGGATCATGTATGATAACAGGAGACGTTCCGGACAGTGGTTGGATGCCGACGAACCACCGAGGTAATTTTCAAAGCCGAATCCTCACGAAAAAAGATTATGGTCACAGTGTGGTGGTCATCGGCTGGTGTGATCCACTATAACTTTTTGTCACCAGGCCAAACCATCACAGCAGAGTCCTACTGTGAAGAAATCGACGAAATGTACCGAAAATTGCGTCAGCTGCAGCCAGCACTTGTCAACAGAAAGGGTCCGATTCTTTTGCATGACAACGCCCGCCCACACGTTTCACAAATCACTATCCATAAATTGAACGAATTGGGGGTTGAAGTTCTACCTCACCGCCATATTCTCCAGACCTTTCACCAACCGACTATCACCTTTTCAAACATTTTCAGAACTTCCTTGCTGGAAAATACTTCATCAATCAGGACCAGGCAAAAAAGCCTTCGTGGATTCGTCTCGACCACCCAGTTTTTTCTTTGATGGGATTTTCGACTGGTGTCACATTGGCAAAAGTGTGCTGATTCGAACGGTGCTTATTTCGATTAAATCCGATGAGTATTAAGAAAGTTATGATCGTTTAAAGTGAAACACTCAAAACGCTGAGAACTTTCCGGACAACCTAATACATAGCTTACAGAAGAGGTACTTTCTCGTATTCATTGTTCACGTTATCGGTGCGTCTGTTCAGACTAAGGGGCACTGTTTTAAGTTCAAACTACTCACTTCCAGCAGCAGCCCGAAATTCTTTTGCGCTTATGGCGCAGTTGACACCAGCCTGCCTCGCATTGAAAATAACTTCCGTCAAGCCATCCTGAAAGGGTAGAGCATATGCCAAGAATCCTCCATATATAATTGGCTAGGTGTATGTGTGCAAGTGTTGTGGCTGTGTGGTGTGTGCGTGCGTGCAGTGTGTGGCGTTCGTGTGTGTGGTGTGTGTGAGAGGTGTGTGTGTGTGTGTTGTGTGTGTGTGTGTGTGTGTGTGTGTGTGTGTGTGTGTGTGTGTGTGTGTGTGTGTGTGTGTGTGTGTGTGTGTGTGTGTGTGTGTGTGTGTGTGTTTCACCGAAATTCCTTCGATTCAGCCCTACAATACAAATTGAGAAGTGACATGGGGGCTGGAAATGAAATTCATTAGTAGATGGCAGGTGATAATAGCCGACATGAACTGACAAGGGCCCTTAGAAGCGGAACGTCACCAGATTCAAAACTCGTGCTACAGGAACGGAGGAACGTTCGAGGACATATGTGGTGTGTGGGGCACGTATATCATTATGGGTAGAATGCTTTAAGAATCGTTAAGCTCTGATAAGGGGATTTACATCGCCTGACTTCTAATTCCCGTCACGGTATCAGTCGGAAGATGGTTCCAACAAGTGATATGAGGATGTGACGGGGTTATTACTGAAGGGCGACAGAGAGGGATAACCCTGTGTGAGCTGATAAGGAGCGTTGCTGCAGTAAATCTTCTTCGAGGTTGTACCTGTTCCACACCCTAAAGGATTCGTGATATGGGCAATGGTGACGGCTGCCAAGGGTTCATATCAATTGATAAGATTATACAAGTGTCCAGAAGCTTAACTTATCCCCTTTTTTACCAATACACGTCTACAATCGTCATTGGGCGGTGGATCAGGCGGTCGAATGGTCGCATGCGCTGCTGCAGCAGCTACCGCGTCAACTAGGAACAGTTGGCGGCGATCAGCTGTTTCCAGAATGGCTTAGCCATTTTCTCCCTAATTTTCACTGCATTTTCTGTTTTTTTAAGGTTTTCGAATGTGAGTTTTTTTTGTCTTCACGAAGGATATTAGGACGTGATCTTTCTCTTGTTTTTGTGACGAAAAATTCGAGAATTTTTTTCAGGCATATAGTTGATTGTTTCTCATTTGGTCCTTTTTTTGTTGGCTTCTTCTCCACTACTGTGTTCGTATATTACATAGACAGCGACACATTAGTGAAACAGTAATGAAGCAAATGCCCATCAAGAAGGATCAAAAGGAAAACGATCAACAAATACCCTGGTAGTATCAAACAATTGAAACAACGCCTGGAAAAATCGTCAGAAACACAACGCAAAAATTAGTGAAATCTCTACAATAACTTACACGAAAGAAGCAGCCAATAAAGTGGAAAAAGAGAAATAACTACCAGGCTAGGGAGAGATCGCCGCCAACAGTTCCTAGTACGCTCACTGATGCACTCTCGTCTGCAACCTTTCAACCGCCTAATCAACTGTCCCGATGACGACTGTAATTTTGGGTATGCAGAATATTGGTGTAGTGAATTTATTGCTTTTACTGCATCGTGCAAGGAGGAGGGGGAGGGGTTTGCATTGTACAGCATAATCAAGAAGAGAATCAACGAAAATGATTTGATAAAGGAAACGCATTCGCCTTTAATCGTGTTGTACTGTAGTGAATAATTTCAAATTGCTTCAACGAGTCAGGCGCACGGTAGTACCATTCAGACTGATAGAAAAATAATGAAGGAACTCACTTGCAAACACGAAGCGTATATTTTCGAGAGCATCTGATGATTTTGGAGAACTATTCACCATTGGAGAAATGAGGGCGACCTGCAACGCATTATGATGATGGATAAAATTTAGATGCAGATGATGGCGAATTCTCACCCTAGTCACAGCTTTCGGGCATTTATACTCGTCGTCTTGCTTGAACCAAATTCGACACCAAGGATCGTCATGTATAACGTGAGGATGTTCCCTATTATTAGCACTTTGCTTCAATACTGCTTTGTCACTCTTCAAAGGCTCATTTCATGCAGATAATTGGAGCGAGGACCCGGCGTAGAATTGCTCGTTTTTCATTGGCGTGTCCACACTTCTAATGCTAAGACAGTAGAAGGAGGGACGAATGAGTGAGAAAAGCACAATGAATAGGCTCAGCTCCGCCCACACTATTGTGAAATTGACCTTGAAATCTTTTGCTTAGCTGATATAAATCACTTTCTTTGGTCCTACATAAGCCGATGGTATATTGGTTCACTATCACAAGGGAGGTGGTTCAGATCATAGTGAGCTTTTCAGAAAGGGCTTATTGTGGGGTTCATTTTTGCTAAACGTTATTGGGGATGCCAAGAAAGGAGTGAAAAGAAGAATTAACAAGAAAGGAGGATTTGAACCACTTTATTCACCTCTGTTCCAGCAGTACCGTTGATAGTGTATAGTACATATATGAGGTGTTCTTTGAGCAGGCATGAAAAACAGCGCAAAATAAGGTCAAAATCCAAGTACTTTACTTGGCATGTGGTGAGCTACAAGGGAGTTTCCTAGTTATCTCCTCATCTCTTCAGTGGGGCCTACGTCCCCCAACGCAGTGCTCGATTGTGTAGTGGACAGAGGGCCGGACCCCCAACCGAGTACATAGTTTGTGATCGGATCCCCTTGAGAAGAAAGCTACAAGGGAGTCTCGTAGTCATCTTTTGGCATTTTTTATATTTCTTCCTTCCTGTGTTCCTGTTTGCTCCATCATGTGTATGACCTATATGCCATTTAGAGGCATAATCTATGCTGTGATAGTTCACAAACGCGCCTGCCTCACTAAACTACTACTTTCGCAAAATAGTATTGAAGAAACTCCCCATGAAACTTGGGTTGCGGCGGTTTTGATCACGAATTTCTGAATATGTCGCAATGTGTCGCCAGTCTGGTGCAAAGGCTTTCTCTTACTAGCATCATTATCAGCCTGAGGGCGGGGCCTATTCAGCGCCAAAAATAAGTGTCTGAACCGTGATCAGGACCATCAGCTACCCCCAAATGAGTTTTGCCGAGAAAAAAAATGATTCCGAGCTCTTCGGGCTATGCACCATTTACACTATTGAAGTGAAAATACGAAGATCTTTTCTCCGGGCAGGAATTAACGAGCTCTTTGTTAAAAACCTAGACGATAAAAAAGGAAAAAGATTCCGGATGCTCGTTTAGTAAGTCTAAAGCTAAGACGGTGTTTTCTGAAGACATACTGAACTTGAGAGTGCAAAAAAATGCAAAATTTCTGGCGGACATTTGACCGGAGACTTTTACGGTTACTGAGTTGTGAGGGTTCGCGTGCCACTGCCATCCAAATGGTCAGGTCCATTACCACCAGAAAAGTTCGAAAATTTTTTTCGCTGAAACCTCGTATACAGGGGTAATTAATGGCCCTGATCACGATTCTGACAATTATTTATGGCGCCGACGTGATCTGGGGCCAGCGTGGCGCTAAAAGGCCACTGCGAGCGGGAAGGGATGCTGCATAAAGCACTAGAAACTTCAGTGTACCTCACTGTATGCCAAGTAAGGCACTTGAATTTTGACCTTATTTTACGTTGTTTTCCATGCCTAGTTGAGGAACACCTCATAAACTATATGTACTCAGCTTTACAGCTAAAACAGAGCCGAATGAGATGATTAAATTTGCCTATTCTGAGCAACTTGTTATTATCCTTTTTTGGCATTCGTGGTCTATGCACAGATCCCTATATTATGCTACAGATCATTTCCAAGAAGCTCACCGCATTCTGAACGACCTCCCTTGTCAGATCGCCCACCCGCTTTCCACCAGTTGCTGCCGCCTGCCTTCTACAATTGGTGGAGAGCGGGCCAGCGCCTAATCCAGGCCCCCTCCCTTCTGCACTGCAAAAGATTGTATATTAAAGCAGAGAAAGAGTCGTAACAAATGCTTACCGTTTATTGTTTCTCGTGGTTTGAGGTCGAATTTTGTAAGCAATATAGTCGTTCTTCGACGGAAAGCGCAGAGCAGGATTCACCGCTTCTAGAGCGGATTCAAACTGCTTCATCGTCCCCTTCAAAACAATTCTTGGGTTTCAACACCCAATAGAAGTTGAATATAACATAATGCGCGGCATAAACAACTTCTTCACGAACAGGGCACATCGTTGTTGGGGAATCCCCAATAGGGGGTCGTATTTGGCCGCCAGGAGAGGGGGGGGGTCGTATTTGGGTTAGGAGAAATCTATTTTGGTAGTCCCCAGCTTCTCTCTTCTTGCAACCTCGTCATAGTTAGTTGTAAGTGTTAATTTCTTCTGCCATACGAGGTTGTTAGGTGGAACTTTATTAATTAGGCCTAACGTTTCGACTGGTTCGTCGTCTTCAGAGGCCTGAACATGTTTCAAGATCTTGATTTACAAACTACCCCACCAAGCGCCTCGTCAACTCTAGCGGTTCCGACATCGTGTCAGGAACCCCTCGAGAGGGCGACAATAACGTGAATCCAAGCTCACCAACGGTTCCACCGTGTTGCGCTGGAGAAAGTCCGCTGCCATACGAAAAAGTACAGCACGAGAGCCTTATTTGGACGTAAATAAGGACTACTGCGCAGTTTCCGTATATAAATTTTATGCGGAGACGCACGTCATGCTCTGTCATTCTACAGCTCGCAGTGCGGTATAACGGTAGTAGGTCAATCATGATTGAGGGACACTCATCTCGGTTATTTTGATAGTTGATTTTTCTCGCTTCACGGACGTTGTGAAAGGGGGGGGACGGGGTCGTTTTTATGTTTTGGCGTTGTGGTGGTTTGAGCCTTTTGGTGTTTCCTGGTTTCAATGCGTACTAACCGTTCTAATCCCCCCTCGACAGCAAAATTTTTGGTAAAAAGTAGGGATTTTCGGGAAATTTTGGAAAAAAGGGCAGGTGGTAGTTGGTGAAAATCTGAAAATTGGTAGCGGGGGGGGTCGTATTGTCTCGCGACTTGTTCTGTTTCACATTTGCTACTTAACCCTTCCATCCCCACCCCCCCCCCCCGACGACTCGATTCGGTGAGGAAGGACAGAGGGCTGGGGGGATCGTACCAACTCCTAAAAAAAAGGGGGGGGGTCGTAGAGACTCGACTAAAATCCCAACCAATGATGTGCCTGTTCACGAAAAACGTTGAGTATGGTGAAGCCAGAGTCACTCTAGGACTGGTTTTCACGCGTTTTAGGCGATTTCTATGAGTCATCATCAGAAGCACCGTGACCTTCATAGAGCACCTGCAGACTGGGTTCTCGTCGTGGTGAATACCAAGAACATTCGGATCGAGAAGAGGCTAATGAGCTCAGCGAGCCAATGCTTGGATGCACTTCTGAGTACAGGCGGGGGAGGCCACTCTGAGACAGTGCGAATACACGATATGGTTATCCAGATGGAGCTCGTCATTCCAGGACAGCTACCCTGACCTCAGCCGTCTTTCAGATCGACAATGCTTTCAGACGCTCTCGTTTTTGGGAGTATTTGGCGCCTGCTCTGAGGGCAACGAACATAAGGACATATTTGGATACAATGAACCACTCAGTTTCAAAGATATAGCACTGAAGGAACAAAGGCAGCAGCGACCTTCGTGGACCACATTGCCTACACGAACACCCACCTCATCTATATCTACGACTCGCATTTCTGTTCCATAGATCGGTTCATGAATATTGCCCTCCTGACCACTGAACCTTCCTGGCAATTACAATGTAGAACATGTTCTTCGGGGACAACGTCTTGAGAACCTTCATAATTCGATCTGAAACCAATTGTCGTCAGCAGCATAGACCATGCTGACCGTGTAGGTGGAGACAGGGCCCAAATTCACCCTTCATTATTGGAGCACTGCTACTGCTACTTGTGAATGTAATTAGGAAGAAAGAATTAGGCTGGATCGGTGGTGGGGTCTGATTCCACCCACACAACCAGTGTGTACTGCTTTTAGAGATTTTCGTTCAGTTCACATCCTAACTTCAGGTGCAAGATTCGCTTGCAAAGTGCATTCAAAGATGGAATCTGTGCAGTACCAGGTTTACACTCCGTCAGAACCTTCCACGAAAGGACGTCTTGGAAAGGAATACGTTGCAGAGCAGAGGAAAGTGTTTCTGCAGCATGTATTGGATCGTCTTTCTCCTGAAAGTGAATAGCGAGTGAATGAGCATGAGTGCTTGGATGTCCATCCCACAGACCATGAAGCGAAATTCAATTTCGCTTATTTTCCGAAGTTCTTCGTGGAACCAGGCGATCACTCCACTACGTCTGAAGTAACCCAATGTAGTTGAACACCAGGCTGATTACTTCCTCAATGTGACTGAGACCATCTAAAAAGAAAAATGTGAGGGAATACAATTTCAACGTATCGTGTTGATTTCTTTTCAAGAAGAAGTAGTAATGACCGTTGAATGTCACACTCTTTAAAATTCAGGGCACAGTTTAATCGAAATTTTCTCTTAGGGATAGATTTAGCCAAAACGTTGCTCTCAGTGTCATTCTTACCCATAAGCATGAACATGGCACCCAGCTGAAATCAAAAGACCTGGCTCACGCCTCACGGGCACTGGCGCCACAACGTTGTGGCGCTGACGGTCTTCAGACTACCTACAGTCGTGATCCCTCAGACTGGCCATCCGTAATTGCGTACTTCACTGGGACGCGACGGCGGCTGCAGTAGGAGTGGCGATCGATGCTGCATGATCACCTGATTTCAGCGATTAATTTTTCTATTTTGCCTGTTATTCTGCTAACTAGAAGGAAAAGTGAGTTCATATTATTTACTCTAATTTGTGGTTTTATTGCATAT